ATAGATCAAAGTTATCGATTTTGTGTTAAATAACTTGTTGTTTAACACAATATCACTCGTTATCGAATCTACTAAGATCAGTAAGTTTTTCCTTGCTGTTTTTAGTTGATTCACCAGTTATCGATCTTGTTATAATTAATGTTTTATTAATTATAACAAATCAACTGATTGAGATAGAGATAGAATTGGCATCACATCTTAATTGGTCGTCTTCTAGTTTGGTCACGCCTTGAATCTTATAGTTGATGGCTTAATTCTGCTAGATCGGTTGTTTTATCTCTATACCAATCAAACAATGCATTCAAAGACATGTTCCAATCTTGAGTAAGTTCACTAGTTAATAAGATCTAATCTAATGACACAACTATAGCTACATCGACCTGGTCAAACCTCACTGGTAAGACTTTGAATTAAAGATTATCGATTAGTGGCTTTGTTCATGATCAGGATACGTACTCTGTTTGTTTGCTATACATGCATCCGCTATTTTAGCTGATTCGCCTATGCTTCACACATATAGCATGTTTTTCATGAACCTGTCAATATATAAATGGTTTTTATAGATTCTTTGGCTTTAGTTTGTTACTACTATCATAGTTGTATCGATCCGATCAAACCTCACTGTTGATGGTAACATATTAGATTCAGAGCGTTTGTAGATTCATTTATATTAAACAGTAGATTTGTTCGCATGTTATATTTTTTTTCGTTAAACTTATCGGCTCAATGCTTTACACTGGTTATATCCATCTAGCTGATGAAGTTTCTTTATATTACTTATATTTGGGTGTATTGTACCTGTTATGTCTAGATTAATCAATCATAATAAAATCGCTGAGCCATGGGTATTGGTTATTTTAAATTCGTACTATCATCATTGATATTAGCCAATAATCTTTATTTCAGTAATCCTCGCTTTACTGATATGTTGGATATCAACTATTTAGTCGATAGCCCCATCAAATCGGCTGTTTAGCCGCATATTTCGAACTGTCTGGAGCAACACTGACATGTTCCGCCTTAAACTACTGATAAGACTCTCTCTCCTTATCAATTGCAGGTCAAATTGACTGGCACGCCACTGGGTTTTCCGAATCGACCGGCCCTGTGTTGAAGCCAAGCAGATCTCCAATCTCATTCCGTTCATATCGTTCGGCTTGCTTTTTGTTGATTGCATCGCCACATTTTTACGTCAATAGTATGTCAACGGCTAGTCTGCTTATACCATGAGGTACTCATGGTAAGCTACCATCAAACGGCTAGTCTGTTTATTTTGGACATAGTGGTGTGAGTGTGTCTTGTATGGGTTCTTATCCCATTTTTTTTCTTAATATAATGATACGCAGCTCTCTTGCAGCCCTGCGTGTTCGAGAAGAAAAAAAAGGGAATGCAGCTTTTACAATACATGTTATTGGTTCAGAGTACAAGATACATACTTTTATAATGCCTGCTCCAATACATCATTTCAGATCAGTTACTGTTCTCCATCTCTTATGATTATGCAAGTGAACTGTGTAATGAAAAACTGTTTTTCATCTACTTAATACAACATAGTTCTTATGCATGTTCATGAGAAAATAAGAATGTACTATTTTAAAGGTAACTCAGAATTCTCATCCTACATCACCGCTAACCAGGAAAAGGGCACATTCTTTACAGCATGCACTCAGGGGGAAAAAAAAGGCAAGCTTGTCCTACTTTACTGCTAATCAGGAAAAGCATCATTAAGGGTGGGAGGAAGGTGGGAAGGCATATAACCAGAATAATAAAATAATGGTGGAAGGCTTACAGGATAGCCATTGCAAGTAAGATCTTAGTGGGGTCCATTCTTGATGATTTCTGATGACGTGGTCGACTCCCCTCTGGAGCATCACTATCTTTTTTCGATGGTGCTGTGACTGGTAGCGTTGGCAGTGCACTAGACCAGAAAGGCAGCAGCATCCTTAGAAATTTGTGACGAAATGTACCTATAAAGGAAATGTAAGCATCAAATAGCACAAAGATGAGCTTGAGCTAAATTCAAGCTTAAGCTGACTATATATATGTAAGGTGCAGAGTTTCAAGCAAGTTTAGATTTTTTATATTTGCTTATGATCTCCAGTGTCAACTGAACCGAAATTTCAAATTCAGTAGATTTCAACCATAGAAACATGTTTTACATAATCAATCATAAATATCTTCCAGACAACTTTATCTAAATAGACCCAATCACTGGAGGTGTTTTTGGCAACTCTACTCAGTGTCACAGATTTCAACCATAGAAACATGTTTTACATAATCAATCATAAATATCTTCCAGACAACTTTATCTAATAGACCCAATCACTGGAGGTGTTTTTGGCAACTCTACTCAGTGTCACAGATTTCAACCATAGAAACATGTTTTACATAATCAATCATAAATATCTTCCAGACAACTTTATCTAAATAGACCCAATCACTGGAGGTGTTTTTGGCAACTCTACTCAGAGTCACAGCAATGGTGTTGCAAATGTCAGTGGTTATGTCTATGCAAGTTTTAGATTGGCTGTGGAACAACTTGGTTGACTCCTCAACAACCCTGAGATTAACTCAAGAATTTCGAACAGAAGGAAAGAGTTCTCTGAAGCTAATTATTATTGCATATTTTAGGACCAGCACCAGTAGGCAAACAAAAATGTGCTGGTCAATAAATCACATTTCATTAGGTGATATCTAACTCAGGTAATCACATGTCAAAACCTGCAGTAAACATAACAAGGCGAAAAATAAAAAGATGGTCTGCAACAAAAGTTCACGGGAAACAGTTGGGTTCCAGCCAATGTTTGAAATAGCGGGATTTAGCCTCAGCTATAGCGGGGTATAGCGTTTCAGGGGCTCTGACGCTACGCTTTGACACATTTCGCGCTACAGGAAATTTTCCGCTATTAGTGGCTTATAGCACGCTATTGCGTGCTAAACATATGTCCGTTTAGCGCCGCTATTGGGCAAGATTCTGCGTGGGCTTTCATTCCCTCTGGCCCAAATCACGCGCAGGCCCATGCTGAGTCAATACACGCCGATGCAGTAACCCTAGCCATTCTCTCGTAGTCTTGCTCCTCTCCGAGCTCACGAGTGTTGGCGGCGGCGGCTGCTGCTCTGCTACTGGGACCGACGAGGGGCAGCGGGAGTGCAGGCGGCACCCAGAGTTCAGGACCATTGCTGCGAGGGGCAGCGGCAAGCGGCGGGCTGCGGGCGGCAGTGAGTGGCAGCAGTGACTGCTTCTGTTGATGCGAGGGGTGGCGGTAAGCGGCAGGCCGCGGGAGTGCAGCAAGCGGCGAGCAGCGGCATCGGCTGCTGCTGTTGCTGCGACGGCCATGAACCAGCCAGAAGGCAAGACTCCCATTCTTCTCATATTTCCTCTGTTCTTTACGTATTGGGCTGCTGGATGCCTGGACGTGAATGGTAGTGCTGAACTGAATAACTGATTTGCTTACGGTTTTTTGTACTGATGCATGAAGCTTGCTACTGCAGCTGTTGATTGATTTACTCTTTACTGTAAATAAATTGGCATTTATCCCATGAAGAAGGTAGAGTATCATATCTGTTCTAGGTTGGTGCAGTAAGCTGACATTTTTATCTCATATTAATTTTTGTTGCTTAGGTCCCCATCAAGTGTTGCATCTGAATCTGTAACACAATCAGCTTCAACCAAACTTGTTATCAACTCAGATAACCCTGCATGGAATCATTGTTATTGCCCAGACGAGAAGAAGCATTCACTGGCGTGCAACTACTGTAAGACGATAAAAGCTGGAATTACAAGAGTGAAATACCATCTTGCTTGTCTCGGTGGCAACAATGTTAGTAAGTGTGGCAAGGTTCCAACCGATGTGAAGGAAGAGATGCTAGCTTTGCTTACCAAGAAAACTAGTGAGAAGGAACAAAAGCAGAAGGATAAGCAAAAAATAAAAATAAAAAAGGCATTTTTGGAACTCAGAAATTTGACCAGAAACATTTCTTAATTCCAGCAGAATCTGGGTAAACACTGACATACCAAACAGGGTCTGAAAGTATCATCATACTTAAAACCTTGGTGATAGCTAATATGATAGTGCATGGTAACCAACTTGAGGAACAGTAATATTCCAAGTAATAGTTTGGTTCAGGGGCTTTGGCGTCCATGCCCTTTTTTTTAAACTGTGATTTTACCCCTACGTTTTCAAACTGAAGGAAAAGCTTGCCCCTATTCCATGAGAAGTCCTCTTAACGGTGTTAACTTATGGACGAAAAGAGAAGTTTACCCGGTTTAGACTATGGCCCTGTTTGGAACCGCTTGTTTAATAATCGCTTGTTAACGGGATATTACCCTGCTAGCAAAAATAGTCACGAACTGCCAATAGTCATGTAGTTTTTCAAAAGTTAAACAAATTCAATCCTTTATGCATCAAAATATTAAATCGAAACAAAGATGCACCAGGCGGACGACCTCGCCTCGAGAATTCGCATGCTGCCATGCTCGGCCTTCAATCTTTCAGTATGGAAGAGAGACTAGAGATGGCTTGAGCTTGACTGCTACATGGCTACCTGCTAGCAGTTCACAACCTCCCGTTTGCCATTGTTGTTGCAAGCGATATGAGCAGCGCGGGAGCACAGCAGAGTGGTCGCGGCCTCCCAGGCCACTCGTCTTGGCGGCGGGCAGTGGCTGCCTGGGTTGGGAAGGCAGCACCGGCTCATCTGCGTGTAGCCCACAAGCCACCACTAAATCCCGCACCTTGGCCAGCGCGATGCTGAAGCCGGACTAGTAGAAGACACCGCGATGAGCGGCCGTCACTAGACTCCATCCACCTTCTCCGTGCTTCGAGCCCGCCGCGCCCCCCGACGACCGGACTTCATGGCCGCAAACCACTGCCAAGTCACCCTCCACCAAATCGTCTGCAAGGCCGCCAAGGAACGCCCGGTCTCCAGCCCACCCGCTTGAGCTCAATGGCCGCCCGCCCGCCTGCTCACGCTTGGTGGCCGCCCACCGCCCTAGCCCGCCCCTAAGCAGCACGCCTCCGAAGCTGCCCGGCAGTACAGGCGCAGGGCCCCTGGGCTCCAATTGCACGCCAGCCCCCCCGGGAGGGGGTTGCCCGCCTAGCCACGGCGGCCAGCACGCCCCACTGGCCACGCTCCGCCACCGTCGCTGCAGTTAGGGTAGAGAATTCGGTTGGATCAGGGAATGTCGAAGTCGAACAGCCAAACGGTTGTCCTTTTGCGTGGACATCTTTTCTTTTTCTATTTTTTCGCCATTTAATCCCCCCAACTGACACTTCAATTCAAAATCACGATGGAAAAATCACAAAGTTAAAAAAGCAAGGTAAAATCACCATTGGACCCTAGAGTAGGGCAGAAACACCAAATTCCCTTTAGTTTAAGTCATCTGTGACCAAATTGTAGCATAAAACGAATATAACACAATACGGAGTTCAGATAATTGTTAAAAAATCATCCTGCCAATTGCATGCTTACCTCTTTTAGTATACTTTTTGCGATTTCCATCTTCATCATCAGCATAATAAGAAATCTCAGAATTTTGTCTATCAACAGTAGTAGCACCTTTTCTTGTCATGGCACCAGGCTACACAAAGAAGAAATAAGATCGCTGTGCTCTGAATAAGCAAATCTCGAAAGAAGACAAACATATAGTAACAAAGAAGAAAAATACAGGGATTTCTCAGGTCTTACCCCATGTGGGCTTGGACTTCTGATGAAATTGGACTCCTGTTCTGAAATTTGGGTCAATACAGGACTAGGACCCTCTATTTCAACAATTTCTGGTTCAACATGAATAGTTGTCCCAGATCCTACAGCAGAAGAGTATATTCCAGAATGTAATGTTGATGGCAAAGCTGCATCTTTAGCTGAATTTGCACTATAAGTTTCTCTATCATCAGTACTGGATAAATTTTTGAGAGGATCTGATGCAAAAGCAGCTGTCCGAGTATCAGCTTTAGCTATTGTCACATAATGATTTCCAAATACATTTGTCTCCAATCCAGTCTGCAACATGCCAGAGAAGTGCAAGCATTATCAGTCTGGTATCAGAACCGGAAAAAAAATCTTGCAGTAAACATACATTAAAGTCGAATGTACTTGCATAAGCATAGAAAATTTGTTTATAAGTAGATAGAAGAATCAAGCCATCAGCGAATTATAATACTAAAAGTCAATAACATCTGGTAAATCATTTGGATTAATCTGACTTCTGCATTCTATTTTCCACTATGCAAATTTCCTTGTTCATAAAAAAATGGAAATTGAGCAGCACTAGCACTTGGAATGAAAAAATAAATGTATGAAATGAATCCCTATCCCTCCATTCCAAATTATAAAATGTTTTGGCTTTTCTGGATACATACCTTTTGCTATGCACTAAGATATACACTATGTCTAGATACACAGTAAAAGCAATGTATCTAGAAAAGCCAAAACATCTTATAATTTGGAATGGAGGAAGAAGCTTTTTACTATGTACGTAGTCATAGCATATATCTAGGTCCATAACAAAAGCTAGTGTATCCAGAAAAGCCAAAACATCTTATAATTTGGAATGGAGGATGTAGTTTTTTACTATGTACCTAGTCATAGCATATATCTAGGTGCATAACAAAAGCTATGTACCTAGAAAAGTCAAAACAACTTACAATTTGGAACGGAGAGTATTAACTTGCAGATATTTTAACACTTAGACATGAACTGACATAAATATTGTGACTACAAGGAGAAATTAGTGGTTTTGACTGCACAATCAGGAACAAATTTTAAGGATCTAACCTGGACTATCGCTTCTTTCAGTTTAGTGTGAAGGCGCGAACCTGTATCTTTAATGCTTGAAGGTGGCCATATCTGTTTGGAAATAATTATAGTTAAAAAAATGAAAGAATGTGTTTGCATGCAGAGGGAGACTGGGTTCAACTTACAGGTGCAGAACAGGAAGGGCAGACGTATCCAGCTGGTGCTGTTTGGGAAGGAAAATTTTGGATATGCGATATCAAGCATTTCGTGTGCACCACATCTATAGGATACCCAAAAAAACAATTACAAGTTATGCTAAATAAAGATGGCATTATAAAATGAGTGACTTCAAACATTCTATTGACAATCACATACGCAAGCAACCCAGTCGTGTTGTTTCTTCAGTTCCACCTTCGAGAACTGAATTGCAAGATGAACAGTGTTGTGGCCAGTCAAACTCAGAATTAACAACCCATTCAGCATAGTTTTTCACCTACGAATATGACAGATGTTAGTTTCTAGGAAAAAGTTCCTTTCCTAACAGACTTGCAAAGACACTAATTTGCAGATAGATGTTACTAGTTCTGTACATTAAATTCTGAACTCTTTCTGGTAGCACAAAACAAATGGAGAGCATATATAATGATGTGATGCACCCATCTAAGTTGAAATGTAATACACTAAGAGCCCAAGGTAAAATGCAAGCAGCATGCCGATCTTCTTACCTGACATATAAAAACTGAAATGTTTGCCACTCAAAATATGAGTTTATATTTCAATTTCCAAAAACCTATTATAGTTTAGACCATCAATCTGTGTCCTGGAGATATCAGCATTCTACCCAATGGATAGAATCAGGCAAAGGATAATAGGACAAGCTAAATACAAAAGACAATGCAAGAATTATAGGGAGCAGATTCTCAAAACCAAACCCTGAGACATAAGCATAGTCCTTAAAAGGTGCTTAAGGCATTATATGCATCCAAAGGAAAAGCTGATATTCCAGCAGAGGCACGAGCAAAACAAAAACCTTTTGCGACTAGCTTCTTGCCATGGAACCCAGATTATTCCATTCCCCTCAGACTGTAAAGATGTAACAGCTATACCACGTTCCTTTTATGTTTCGTAACATAAGTAAAACATATTCATTTCCTAAGGACAATAGACCAACAAGCTCATTGTCACATGTGGAAAATCAAAACAATGTAAAGTATGGTAGATGAGATGGACAAAGTTGAAGAGGACTAGATCCAGGTAGCAGCATATAAAGAAGTGCTAATTCTAGACACCACAACAGTAGCTCAATTGCTATTCTGAGTGAACCAGTTTTCACTCTAGATGCCCTTTGTTCGCGGCAGAGGCAAAGATCGAAAAGTTGAGAAGGCCACTCACCACGCATAGCTGATGCTCCGGAAAGCATATGCACACGCCACAGACGGGGACCTGGTGGACGAAGCAGTAAACCCTCGTCGCCTGAAACAAGCACGCAAACCCATCAGCTCAAAACTGCAGCTGAAGCCACTGACGGCGTCAACCAACGCACTCCAAATCGCAAAACACAACCATCAATTCTGCTACAAGAACACAAGGGAGGTATTCGATGAAATTGCCCAAGCGTCGAGCCAGCAAACCTCAACGCCCGCTGTGAACGCATACAGGCCCCAAAATGGGAGCTTTTCGCGCCGCTTGGTCGAATCGGGATCATGCCGCCGCCGACCCACTCACCTTACACCCCAGATCCCAAATCGGCCCGTGTGCTGCCGGCTGACCAATACAAACACAACGCGAGAAACCGTGGGGTACGGGGCCGGGATCGTCAGATCGGCAGAGAGTGAATAAGTTACCTTTCGGCATTTGCACACGACCATCGCCGGCGGATTTCGGAGGCCGCTATTTAGCGGGTGGATCGGGGCGCGATGGGGATTGGGGCAGGGTGAGCGCACGATCTCGCGGGGATGAAACCGAGACAGATCTCGTGGGGCAGGGGGACGCAGGGGCAACGGGGACCGGCGGCCGGCGCCACGGTGGGGGATGCGGGGACCGGCGGCCGGCGGCGGCCACGGGGACCTGCAGCTGCGGGGGTTTCGCCTCTCGGAGAGGGCGACGGCGGCGGCTGTCACTCGGGGTCGGGGTCGGGACGACCGGACGAGGAGTCGAGCAGCAGAGGAGGCAGGGGTAAGGAATAATCATGCATTTGGCATTGGCATTGCACGAGCACAAGCAACATTGATCATTCATGAGTATGAGCACCTCAAACTTTATCTCTATGATTGCTTATATCATATGTGTTTGTTACTAAATGCTTTACATATGTTAGGATTTACATGTAACCAATGTATGAAATATTTGTGGGACCTTAGGAGAACCTTAAACATGTTTAGAATGTCACATGGAATAACTTTGGTATTCATGATTTAGACCCATTTGGCCTCTAAGTTATGGTTATGGTGTAAGCTATCATTTTCAAGTTGTATGTTTGACCTAAGTTGAACTATAGCATAGAGTGTTTGCATGATAGTGCACCCTTAAGCAAAGTTGTAGTACTTGACTAGAGTAACAACTTTTATTTTTGGGTCAAGACCTAATTCGGTGCATAGCATGCTCAAAAATAGCTCACAAGTAACAAGAAATGTTGTTTTGGACTTGCTAAAAATTTTCTAAGTCTTAGTGTTGTTTACAGTTTCAATGTACCTCACTTGGGAGCATTGTAACTGGCTAACCATTGAGAATTTGGGGATGCTTCTTAAAGAAAGTTTGTAGATTACATGTAGCTCTACAATTTCTATTCAGGGAATTTTTGCTAACTCTAACTGGTTTGGGAGATACAGGGGATCAAAGTCACTCTGTCAGTCATGTCATCGGGGCCTGATGGCCGCAGACGCAACGCCGTCAGTGGCTGACCGGGGGCAGGCCAGGCGCACCGCGTGGCTGCCATACACCTGCGCTGGCCCGGCTAGTTAGGCCAGCGCAGAGGGATAAGTCGTGCACCTCTACTGCTCGCTTCATTCCACTCTCGCACCGCGATCTCTCTCGCCCATGCCTGAGCAAAGCAAAGCACTGCGCCGCCGCGCCATCGCCATCGCTTTGCCGTGCCCGCTCGCCGCCGTTGCTGCATCACCACCCAATCTAGCTCGTCTGCAACTCCACCATCGTCACCTCTTCCACCCCAACCCACTAGCCCCTCTTGCCGAGCTAGGGTAAGGGCACATTTAGCTTTGCCGCCATCGGGTCATCACCGGAGCACCGCCACGCTCGTGGATCAACGTGGCTCGGCCATTCCACTGCCCCGCAGGCCTCCATCTCCTTTGGTCCAGCACCCCATTAGAGTCTTGGAGCTTAGGCCAAATCTAGGGATGACACCACCATGTGTCGGTGTCGAAATGGGTCGCCGCTCTGCGCGCGGCCGCCATTGCCGTCATGGCACTAAAGCTCATCGTCGTCGCGCTAGTCAACCGTATCCCTCCGTCCTCTTCCATCTTTGGTAGGGTAACCCTAGGTCTAGTTAATGGCATGACGGAGACCTCTCTCCTGCCTCCATCTTGCTGGAATGGTGAGAGCACCGTCATGCATCGAGCGTCGCCGCGTGTCGGATACCACAAGAGGGGGTACCCTAAGCAAGAACCAAAAATATTGCTTGAGCCTTGCAATAATCAAAGCCGAAGGACAACCACGAGGTCTCGGCCATTTCTCCGATTCGCCCGAGGCTTGCGCCGAGGCCTCAGACGAAAGGCCAAAGCCCTCCGCACCGCCGAGGCCCTCTTGTCGAGGCCCTCTCGTCGAGGCCCCGCCCCGCAAGGCCTCGGACAGGATGCCAATTTTCCGATTCGCCCGAGGCTGGGCTCAGCAACAACCTCATCACCTCCACCTCGACCGGCTCCTCTGACAAAACGTCGCATCTAGATTAATGCGCCCAACTACTCCCGCAACGTCAGCCGCACACTGGCACAGTTCGGGCAGAACGACTGACGGGACAGGGGACCGGGCGCAGCAGAGGTTACCTGCCACTGTGCTCATCACTGTGCCCCCTACTGACGCCCGGACTGCCCTGTGCTATCTAACCCCTGTGCCAAGGACCAAGCGACGTGAAAGGTCAAGTCCATGTCCCTGTAGTCTCAGAAACAGCAGGAAAGCCCAACTGCTCGTCCTCCGCCTCGTCTGAGACCCCCCGGCAGGGCCTCGGACGTACTTTTCCTTCTCCGCTTCGGCTGAGGCCAGGCTCATCCCATATCCTCATCGACTCCGCCTCAGCTGCTCCTCTGGTGAGCCATCCCATCCATGTAAGTGCGCCTCGTCACGCCTACTACGACAGCCATGATGGGCAGGGTACAACAACAGGGGCGATGGGACGGCGGTCAAATCTCCGTTTTTACCATCCCCTACTGACGGTGCAGGGATTACCGTGCCCTATGGACATCCGCTCCGCCCTTTTCCACCTGGATCGGGTACGACGTGGACCGCCAAGACCCCCGTACCATACCTCGGTCACCTCCGAGGCCTCGGCAAAGCAGGCCTCGGCGCGATCAGCTACAGCACCCGCTAGGCCTCAGCGCTCCACCAAATCAAGAATCCACAAGGCACGGCATGTCTCCTGCCGTGGAGGCCATACTGACTAGACATCAACAAGGACCCCCATGACCTCAACAACCTCAAGCCCGGCCAACACGGCGCGTCAGTCAAAGTACCAATCACCATTCCCAACACCATGCTGCTACAGGACTGAACTACAGTAGGCTCCACGTGTAGCTCACTCATATACTCCTGGCTCCCTCCTTGCGGTTATAAAAGGAAGTAGCCAGGGATAGCCCTGGGGGGACAAGAAAAACATACGGAAGGACCACGCTCTCACACATGGGCAAATAACACTCTATAACACACGCTCCCCTAAGCTGCCGAAGAGCAACGTCTCAAGCAGCCCACGCTGTTCCACGCCGAGACTTGGGACTAGCTCCCTCTCTCACCTAGCTTGTAACCCCCTACCACAAGCATTTCGGTGCAAGGAATACAAGATCGATCTCTCAGACTGGACGTAGGGCGCCAATTGCCTGAACCAGTATAAACCTTGTGTCTCTTTGCATCACCATCCGGGATTAGGGGCACACAGTTCAAATTCACTGGTTGGTTGAGGACCCCCCGGTCCGAAACACCGACAGTTGGTGCGCCAGGTAGGGGCCTCTACGTGTTAGCTTGATCGTCCCAATAAGTTCCGGATGGCTGACCCCATACGCCCACTACGTCTCGGCACGGTGATATGGTTCGGGAGCCTAGAGTTCATATCTCTAGGACATGAGTACGACCTAGTACTCCTCCCACCCAAAGCCCCTCTGGTCGACGACGGCGTCGCGCACCAACGGCTCGGGCGTAGGCGGCGTCCGGGCCGCCGCTCTTGTCGCGCTCGCCAGTCACGGCGCCAGCGCGACCACCCCGACACCGCACGACCTTAGGGCGACACGCCGCGCTCCGCTGGTATCCCGTGCCCGGCTGTTGGTACGAGGTCCATGGTTGGGGACCTGTCTGGCCAAAGCTTGGGTAGGGGAAAGACACCGGTGACACACAGCGACGCCCCGCTATCAAGTTCCGCACCGCCACCACCCGAGGAGCCAACTACGGCGGAGCAGGGCCCGGTGATGGCCCCGTCTCCATACCCTTTCGGGTTGAGAAACATCGCCGCCGCCTACGCTTCCGCTCATGCGGAGCCCTCGGGACGCCACCGACGATTCGCCCTTAACTTTTCCACCGCAACCTCGACCCACACCCACACTGACTCCTCAGAAGAGGATGAGGCGTGGGCCGGAGCGGACTTCTCCGGGCTTTGCGACCTTGAGGCTATGCGCCGCTTTTTGGCCGCAAGCGACTACTGCTTCGGCTACTCCGACTCCAATGACGAAGGCACTTACGATCCCACTCGAGAATGCTTCCACATCGGGCTCGGAATGCCAGGGGCAAATAATGAGAATGAAGGGGAATGAAAGGGTAGGCGACCGCTCCCCACTCCGACAAAGGGCAGGTGACGCCACACCCCTGCTCGTCGAGATTCGGGCAGCACTGAACGTGCACGCCTCCCCCGAGGAACTCCGACGCCTGGACCTAGAGCAGCTCCGTGAGCTCCAGGCAAAGATCGACCAAGACTGACTCCTGCTACTGCAGCTCCGAGACACTCTCGAATAGGAGCAGCAGGGTCGCAGTGATGGCGGAAGAGCCCGACGAAGGGCCCACGACGTACACCGCCGCATTAACAACGACGAGGGGAGTGAGCAACCCCCAATCTTCAATCGCGCTAGCCAGAATGTCACGGCAGCGGCAATGCTAGTCCGGGCGATGCCCAAGCCCTCTACCACGGAGGGGCGACAGGTTCGCGGTGAGCTCAGACACCTTCTCGAGACCACCACGGTGCAGCAGGCCGAAAGCTCCGTGTCTCGACGGTGCGAGGACACCTCGAAACGGCCCTCAGTGCACGACCGCCTCAAGGCCCCCTCAATGCATGACCGCCTCTGCGACCGACGTGAGGCGCAAGATGACCATGATGTTGTCAGCAGGCGACGACGCCACGACAACGATGGGCTCGCCCGAGGCTACCACCCGCACCGAGGCGGCAGTCCTTCTCCTAGGGCACCTGACCCTCGAGTCTTTAGCAAGGCCATCCGCGGCGCCCCGTTCCCCGCCCGGTTTCAGCAACCGTCCAACCTCGCGAAGTACAGCAGCGAGACAAACCCCGAGTTGTGGCTGGCCGATTACCGCCTGGCTTGTCAGCTAGGCGGTGCGAACAATGACCTGCTCATCATTCGCAACCTCCCTTTATTCCTGTCAGATTCGGCGCGAGCTTGGCTCGAACACCTCCCTCCCTTGCAGATCCACAACTGGCGCGACTTGG